TTTTTAAAGATATGGTGGGAGGGGAGGCCAGTGATGGTGGTCTCACAAGGGGCAGCGGCTGGTCACTCAGCGAGTCCCCAGAGGCCTTGGCCATTGGCAGGTGACCCAAGGGGGTAGCAGTCCCCCGAGGGGCAGCAACAGACCATGAGGGTCAGCTGGTCACATCACTTGAGGCCTCAGCGCTTTCCAGGCGAGTGGGAAACCATTGTGGGTGAGAGACAGACAGGTATGCCATGCAGAGAGAGTTTGGGTATTGAGTTTATTTAGTGGATTATGGAAGGGAAGGGAAAGAAGAAAAGGGGGGCAAGTGAGGGGGGAAGGGAGAGGAGAGAGAGGCAGCATCCACTTCTTCAGAAGAGGGATGGGAAGGGAGAGAGCATAGGCTGGAGGAGGCAGAAGATCCCCTTGTCTAGGTGTAAGGGGGGAGTGCATGGGCTTGTCTCTTAAAGGTACAGGGTACCCAGTCTAGCAGATCATAACAGGTGGCATGTGTGTTTGAATCTGTGGGCACACATAGAAGGGGTGTACATGTTTGTGTGTGTGTGTGTGTGTGATGGCACGAAGTTGACATTATCTTCCTCAGTTGCTCTCTGCTCTACCAAGGCAGGGTCTCTCACTGATTATGGACATTACTAGTTCTGACTAGGTTAGCTAGCTGGCATGCCCCATGAATCTGCTGTCTGTGTCTCCTGAATGACTGCGGTACAGGCAACCAACAAGCCTATCTAGTCTTTTTACATAGGTTCTAGAGATCTGAACTCCAATCCTCATGTTCACAGCACATACTTTATTTGCTTAGCCACCTCCTTAGCCTGATGGTCATGGGATTCTTATATTGACAGAAATCAAATTATTTATCCAAGTTGTATATAATGTGTGTATCATATACCATACAATGTGTGTTCTATCACCTCAATTTAAAAGATTAGGACTGGAACACTTCTACATTGCTGGAGGGAGTGCAAGCTGGTAAAACCCCTTTGTATGTCAGTGTGGTGATTTCTCAGAAAATTAGGAAACGACCTTCCTCAAGACCCAGTAATAACACTTTTGGGTATATATCCAAAGGATGCTCAACTGTGCCACATGGACTTGTGCTCAATTATCTTCATAGCAGTTTTGTTTGTTATATCCAGAACCTGGAAACAACCTAAATGCCCCTCGATTGAAGAATGGATAAGGAAAATGTGGTACATTTACACAATGGAGTACTACACAGCAGAAAAAAATAATGACTGCTTGAATTTTGCAGGAAAATAGATGGAGCTAGAAAACATTATTTTGAGTGAGGTAATTCAGACACAGAAAAACAATTATCACATGTACTCACTCATAGGTGGTTTTTAAACATAAAGCAAAGAAAGCCAGCCTACAAACCACAATTCCAGAGAACTTAGACAACAATGTTGACACTGAGAGACTTACATAGATCTAATCTACATGGGAAGTAGAAAAAGACAAGATATCTTTAGTAAATTGGGAGCATGGGACTTACATAAATCTAAGATCTAATCTATATGGGAAGTAGAAAGTAGAAAACCACAAGATCTCCTGAGTAAATTGGGAGTATGGGGACCTTGGGGAAGGATTGAAGGGGGAAGGGGAGAAACAGGGAGGGGAGCAGAGAAAAATGTAGAGTTCAATAAAAATCAATAAAAAAGATCAGGACTACCGTGCAAGAATACATGAGTATTCTTTAAGAGCAGAAATGTAAGTGAAGTTCAGAAACCATTTACATTAGTTTGTGCACAGAAGTGAGCACCAAGGATGGAGATTGAAAGCTTTATTTTTGTACACTTAAGACTAGTACTAGATTGTTTCAAGGAGCAAAAGTACTTTTGATTAAAAGGAACATCCAGTGGAATCCTTAAGAATAGGAAATAGCAGTGCTGTAAAAATAAAACATACAGGGGGATATAAACCAGAAAGGGAGACCACCAGGTAATGCACTATATTTTCTCAAAAATACACCAATGTACACCAATGTACTATGTCAGTAAGAATAGATCCTGCTTACCTTTTATAATAGCTTTTGAGTTTTTCACTGTTTAAGCACATTGTAATCTACTCAATTTTTTGTAGACAATTCTATGGTTTCTAAGTTATCTCTTTTTTGGGGGAAGGGGGAAGCTCCATGGTTCTAGAAGTGAAATTGTAGAAGAAAAGCATATACATATTGGCCCCATGCTTTTAGAAAGACTAACAATTTATATTCTCAGCTTGCCAGGAGTCTAAAGCAGTGACTCTCAACCTTCATAATGTTGTGACCCTTTAATACAGTTCATGTTGTGACCACAACCATAAAATTACTTTCATTGCTACTTCCTAACAGTAATTTTGCCACTGTTGTGGATCATTATGTAAATATCTGTGTTTTCTGACAGTCTTAGGCAACCCCTATGAAAGGGTTGTTTGACTCCCCCAGGGGTCATGACCCACATGCTGAGAACCATTGTTCTAAAGAATTATCTTCAGACACATCTGACAAGTCTTTCTTCAGGCAAGCATTAAAAATCAGTTTGCTCACCGGGTGGTGTTGGCACAGGCCTTTAATCCCAGCACTTGGGAGGCAGAGGCAGGAGGATCTCTGTGAGTTCGAGGCCAGCCTGGTCTACAAAGGGAGTTCCAGGACAGGCTCCAAAGCTACAGAGAAACCCTGTCTCGAAAAACCAAAAAAAAAAAAAAAAACAAAAAAAAAATCCGTTTGCTCAGATTAGCAGTTGGCAGTGTTTCCGTCACTTTGTTAGATAATGTCATGGCTGTCGAACTAGAGTTGTATTATAGACAAAATTCCTGCTGGCTGGAGCTGGCTGGGGCTAAAGATGAGAAGAAAAACAACAACAACAACAATAAAGTAAGTCTTTTGTAGCTTCATGGAGACCGAAGAGCTTGAGTGATTTGCTGTGTCACCACCCGGCAAAGAAATCCCACGTCTATCTCCACGTTAGAAATGATTACAAACTCCTGGACCTAGGAAAGCATAGGGTGGGGAATGGATGGGATAACAGAAAGAGGAGGCAGGTTTCTTTGATCTAAATCATCTGACCTCAGATCTCTGGCGAACTCTGTTCATTCTCTCCACTCTGTCTGCCCACAACACACAAACAAGCACAACATACAGCCACTGTGGCAGCACACAAAGACGCCATCTTCTTCCTGCTTTAAGTGTGGACTTTCCACAGTTCCAGGTTATCCTAGAAGGTACTAGGCTATTGAGTAAAGCTACTCGAGATGACTCTAGCTAGGTGTATTCTCACCTGTTTCAAATTCTTTCTTGTTTTTTATTTTATTTTATTTTTGTGAGATAGGGTTTCGCTGTAATTTTTAAAATATTTATTTATTTACTTATTTATTATGTATACAATATTCTGTCTGTGTGTGTGTATGCCTGCAGGCCAGAGGAGGGCAGTAGACCCCATTACGGATGGTTGTGAGCCACCATGCGGTTGCTGGGAATAGAACTCAGGACCTTTGGAAGAACAGGCAATGCTCTCAACCTCTGAGCCATCTCTCCAGCACCTTTCGCTGTAATTTTAGAGCCTGTCCTGGAACTAGCTCTTGTAGACCAGGCTGGCCTCGAATTCACAGAGATCCACCTGACTCTGCCTCCCAAGTGCTGGGATTAGAGGCGTGTGCCACCTCCCCCTCCCCGCACCTGTTTCAAATTCTGCACTAAATTTGAATAGTCTATTGTTCACCACTTCAGTATAAAAGTTATACACAGAAAAAAAAAGTTATACACAGTAGATGTAAAGGTGTAGAAAACCTAATTATAGCTTTATATCTTAAAAAAATAAAGATTAAATGATTCCTTTAATTAACTGCCCAAGATCACTTAAGCATACCTGATTTATAATCACATAGATATGTGTACATATGTGCATAAGTGCCTGCAGAGGCCAGAGGCTTCAGGATCCCCTTAAAGTTAAATTACAGATGGTTGTGAGCTAACCAGCATGGGTCCTGGGAATCCGAACTCGTCCTAGTCCTTACAACTGAACCGTTTCTCTAGTCTCTCAAAATAACTTTTTAAAGGTTTTGTAGTTAAAGGAAAATTATTTGTCAACTTATGGCATCCTCAGTTAAGCAATGAGGGCTTAAATTATATAAGTACCGTATCTGTGTACTTTGTGTGGGAAAGTTATTAATATGCTTTATTCAGTCCGAGATTCCTGAGTGAACTTCCTGCCTTCACTCAGCCTAATTCTTTCCAATTTTACATTCTTCTTCCCACTAGGATCTCTCCCACCCCTTTTTTTTTAAATATTTATTTATTATGCACACAATATTCTGTCTGTGTATATGTCTGCAGGCCAGAAAAGGGCACCAGACCTCATTACAGATGGTTGTGAGCCACCCTGTGGTTGCCGGGAATTGAACTCAGGACCTCTGGAAGAGCAGGCAATGCTCTTAACTACTGAGCCATCTTTCCAGACCTCTCCCACCCTTTTTGTATCACACTCTCCCTCTGGTTCTTAGCAACTCCTGAAGCTCCGCCCCTCCTCGCTCGCCCCGCCCCCTATCCGCACCTTCAGCTAGTACCATTTCTTTTCAGTCTTCACAAGCCTCACCCCAGTGGCCCTAACACTCTTCGACGGCCCCGCCCCTTTCCGATGCCCCGCCCCAGTCCCTTTGCTCCTCCCCGATCCCGCCCAACTCGCTTCGCCCCGCCCCCAGGCGATCCGCCTACCTCTCGCTCCGCCCTCCGCCTCGCCTCCTCTCTCCTCTAGTCCCGCCCCTCTGACCCCGATGCTTCGCTCCAGTTCCTCCACTTGCGTGGGGCCCGGAGCCCCTCGCTTCCGCAGTCCCGTGACCCGCCCTTCCCCAAAGCCTCGCCCCTATCATCCCCGCTAGTCTCGCCCCGCGCTGCAGGTACCGCCCCGTTCGCACCGTTCGGCTAGCCCGGCCAAGCCGCGCCTTCCGGCTCCTCCCCTGCAGCACCTTTGCAAGTAGGCCCCTGCGCTCTGACGTCACACGCCGGCGACAGGGACGCGGGCCGTTCTTCTCTTCTCCCCCATCCTCAGCCCCAGGGTTTTGGGGCGGCTACGTGGGGCGTCCCTACCTTGAGCCGGTGCAGTTGCCCGCAGCCCGGAATCCATGGTCACTGTGGCGAGGCGGGAGGACGCGGGCGGCATCTAGCCCCCCCAGTCGCACGTGCTGCGGCTCCGTGCCCGGCCCTGCCTCCTGGCCCTGTGAAGTTGGGGGCGGTACCCCGTCACTCCCCCTGTGCCGCCGCCGTTTCCAAGGGGTCAGAAACCGCTGTGTTTGTGTCGTCCGCAGAGCCGGGCTCCGTGGTGCGGGCGTTGTGCCTGGCCGGCCGGAGGCGAGCGTGACGCATCAGCCGGAGACCCGTGCCAGGGCTGTGAGCGGCTGCTGGGGAGACAGACTCGCTTTCTCTTTCAGCATGCCTTTTTCAAAGTGCTCCGTGGTGCCGCTGCCTTAAGCCCTAGGGGAAGACCCTACTGCCTCTGCACCGGTGCTTATGGTCGCCACTGTTATTCTGAATCAAGTACCTTGTCATTGAGGTGAGTTTCTCATGGGGGAAGCAGTGGTAGGCAGGATGGTGAAGTCACTGGGAGCCGGGAGACTTGTGTGGACGCTCTGTAAAGTGCATGGATGCCCTCCCAAGTGTTTGCATGTGAAGCACCTTCAGCTCATTAAAATGTAAACTCGTCTCTCCAAGCAGTTCTTTGATATAAAATGACAATGCAATCTTAGTGGATGATAAGCAGTCATTTAAATGGATTAGATGCCTTTGATGTTATCTGTGTATTTTAATGAGAAAATGAATAACAGTTAACTAATTAACCTAAAAGCTAATGTATCACTTCTCTTCATGATTTGACACAATTTCCATGTGTAAAGTATTCAAATTTTTACTACTTTAAATAATTTAGTGGAACTTTGGGGAGGGTTCCTGGGGATTGGATACAGGACTTCATTTTTTCTAGGCAGGTTATCTGCCCGATCAATTTTTTTTCTCTCCTGTAAGACCTCCGAGAAGCAGAAATATTTTTATTGCCTACATAAATCACATCAGAAATGTTTGTGAAGGCTTAAAAGCCCTAGTCCGTCTAAGCGCTAATGATGGGCTTTTCTTAAGATGCAGTAAGTAGAGATGAAGGGCTGCAGCCAAACACAAAGAGTAGTTCTTTGTTTCTAATTTTGAGAATCTGGATGTCTGCAGTTAAAATTGTCTCTTCTAGGGAAACCCGAGTAACCTATTTTGTGGGGAAACTGGTTTTTACACAGAAAAAAGTCTGTTAGAAATCTGATAAAAGCTGTGGAATTTCATCACAGAAGTTCTTTTGAGGTCATATTAATAATACATTAGCATTGTATCCCAAGCAGATTTTACTCTCTAGTCTGCTTTCTTTTCTAAATTATGGACATAATAGCTTTTCATGCATATTAAGTTTGTCTTTGTATGTTGGTAGTTTCTACCTCAAACTCCTTGAATGTTGCCTGAACATATTTACCAAGGAGAAAACACATACTGTAAAAAATAAATAGTAGCAATCCTCTATTTTGTTTTCTAATTTTTTCTCAGTTATGAAAAATAGAGAAGGATTTTCCTCTCTGAGAAGATACATTGACCCTTTCTACAGTTCAGGCTGTTTCTATTGTTTTGGAAGAACTGTGTGTTTAGACTGCCTGTAGGCAGTACCAGGAAATTTCTTGGCATCTGTTTTCATCTATTCCTAATGTTTCCCTTTGGAATAACCTGTCCATCAAATATCTGAAACAGCTTTGCTTACTGCCAGTCAGTATGTGTTTTCCTGATTGATGGAGATGCAGTTTTAAATTCATGTAATCTGACAGTTTTCACATGTGGTTCATAATATTGTGTCAAACATTGCTTATTTTTAATAGTTCTTAAAAAGGAAGATACCTAATTTGTCTAGAGCTACGGGATTAAAAAGCAACATGATATTGTGGCAAAACTTTAAATGTTAAGGTAAAAAAGTTTGGACATTGTTTGAGGTTTTTCTCCTTCAATGTTAAGGATTAGTCCCAGGGTCTGGTGCGCTCTAGGCAGGTGCTTCTGCTGCCAAGCTGTATCCCCTTTCCTGTTCAGATATTTAAGTAGGGCCAGCAAGATTGTCACCAAGCCCGATCAGTCTCCATGACCTACCTACATGGTGGAAGAAAAGAACTGACTCCCACAAGTTGCCCCCCCCCCCCGCACACACAGTCTGTCTGTCTTTCTAAATACATACATTTTAAAACATTTAAAAATTAAAGTGAAAAAATTGATTTGCTCAGTGTTCTTCCTACTTGTATCAGTATACATGGCTTATTAAAAGTTTAACTTTATTATTTTGACTAGCTAATCAATTCTTATAGTTCAAAATTCAGACAATACAAAAGATCAAAGAATTCTCAACTGTTCACTTCCCTTTTTAAAAGCAATATTACTAGTTTTTGTGTCCTTACAGAACTATTTCTTCTATAAATGTGTTTGTTGCCAACTTGATACAAATCTAGACATATCTTGGAAAAGGGAGTCTCACTTGAAGGCTTGCCTCAGTCAGATTGTCCTGTACATGTCTGTGAGCATTTTCTTGATTAACGATTGGTGTGGGAGAGCTCAGTCTACTGTAGGTGGGGCCACCATTAGGCGCATGGTCCTGGTTGTATAAGAAAGCCAGTTGATGCAGGTGGTATATGTTATTATCTTTTCTTTCACTTCATTTGAAACTGTTTTCTAGTATAATAAATTAGTTGTAAAGTCTAACAACTATGAAATAGGTATCTTGTTTTCCTTCTGATTTACATTGACTGCAGAAAAGGAGAACTTGTCATGTGTTCCAAAACTCATTAACATGAATCTGATTGCTCAGAAAGGTACCTGTTGGTAGAGGCTGCTTGTTTGTTCCTGGTCGCCCAGACACGAAATAATCACACAGAAACTATATTATTTGCAATGCTGTTGGGCTAATAGCTTAGTTGTATTGCTAGCTAGCTCTTATATCTTAAATTAACCCATTTCTATTAATCTTTGTATCACCATGTGGTTGTGGCCTACCAGTAAGGTTTCTTCTGGCATCTCCTGCTGTAGCTGTATGGCTTCTCCTTTGATATAGGTATGAATAATTTGCATTAGTATAGATTTTGCTTTATTGATAGAGATTTAAGGTCAATTTTGTTATATATATATATATATATATATATAAGTGTTTCTGATTTTGATTAAGGTATTGTGATTGTGTAGTTCATTTAAATATGTACTGTATAATTAAGAAATATAGGTTGTTAATGGATAATCATCGATAATAGTAAAGCTTGTAGTCATGTTAGTTAGATTTTCTAGATATATAGAGATTTATTTTAGATAGACATTCTTCATGTCTTTCAAAGATTACAGAATAGGACATTTAATGTTTTAATAACTGAGGACTTTTCATGACAATGAGACACTCTGCTCCTGGCAGCACCAATGTACTTCAAGAGGAAGATGGGCATCGAAGAGGCTCGTTATTGAGTTTGGTAGCCATTTGGGCAAGAAACTGCTCTTGCCTGGACTATTGCATAAACTGGACACAGAGAACCCACAGAGAGAGGACTACTGAACTTGCCTAAGGTGAGATGATCTTTCGGGGTTCCTGATTCATTTTGAAAGAGTCTGCGAGACATTCTGCAGGACACAACAGATAGTGACTGAACTGACTTTGAATTTTCCTGCTTTATGGAAATGTCTGCTGGATAGCATGGGCCTGAAGGCTGAAGATGGATGCCCCAACGGTACAGAGGAACTTTGGGTGACTGTCCAGGCAGCGCGATGTCTTTGTCATTTCTAGAGTTTGAAGTTTCTTGGTTCTTGTTTACTTAGGTAATATTATATCTTTCTGGAGTCTTTGATGGAGTTAAGAATAGTTAGTTATAGTTATAGTTTTCCTTAGTTATGATAAAGATTATTGTAACTTTTACTTGATAACTGTTTTGTTATATGTAATTTTGCTATGTTAAAGTTAAAGCTTTTTTTTTTTTTTTTTTGGTTTAAACCGAAAAAGGGGAAATGAGGGAGGAAGCTCATTGGCTAATAAAGGAACTGCCTTGGCCCATTTTATTGGTTAGAGAATAGGTAGGAGGAGTAAACAGAACAGAACGCTGGGAGGAAGAGGAAGTGAGCTCAGACTCCACAGCTCTCCTATCGGGAGCAGACGCCTCAGAGAGAGAGACGCCATGCCCTGCTCCCAGGCAGACACATGCCATGAAGCTCAGACCCATGATGGACTAGGCTAGAATCTTCCCGGTAAGACCGGTTCTCACAGATTATTAGAGATGGGATGATCGGGATATCAGAATTAGCCAATAAGGGCTAGAGCTAAAGGGCCAAGCAGTGCTTAAAAGAATACAGTTTCCGTGTAATTATTTTGGGTAAAGCTAGCCGTGGGGGCGGCCGGGTGCCGGGGATGCAGCCCCGCCGCTCTTATTACTACACTCCTTGACTCTGCCTCTCTCTCCTCCTCTATCTGCTAAGCCACTGTCTGAAACAGCTTTATTTATTAACCAAGAAAAACAACACATAGACAGGACTTCCCACACCATTGATAAACAATGTGTTTATCATTGTTTGATGGCAATTAGAATTATTTTCTTTTTACCAAGAGCAATAAATTTGGCTTTACTGAATTAGAACCACAAAGCTCAGTATGTGGATGGCAATAGAATTACAGAATAGGAACACTAATAGGTTCTGCCTTTTTGGTATAGTATCTAGAAAGGAATTGACAATTAAATTTGGAAAAAGAGCCAAATTGACAAATTTTGTTTTCTCCTCTCTTCGAAAAACGTCACAAAACAATGATGGTTATGAAATAACCTCATGATGTGGCTATTATTTAATGTAATTTTATTTCATGGAATTGAGTCTTCTAAGATAAGTTTATCATCTCTAAGTAGTGTAGTATTATGATACATTGAGCTTCCATGTTCTGGGAATAGCATTAAGTTTTGGCTGATTCCCAGATACCCATTATACTATGCCAGTTGATTCAATGTAGGCCATGTTTGGAATGACTTTTCCTCTCTATCCTACTGTTGATGGCTGGATTTTTATGATAATATTTTAATTCTTAGTTCTCTTAAAGTTGCTAAAAGAATTTTTATTATAGAAATTGAAATGAGATCTGATTATAATGTTTATTAATGTTGAGGAAGGTTCTTTTTTCACAAAATTTAACAAGATAATTATCAATTTTACTACAGGCTGGATTTTAACTTTTAGTTTTCAGGACTATATTATGAATTCTGTAACTTAACAAAATCGAACCTTTTTAAGGGAAATTTAAAAATTTAGTATTGGTGGATGAGGTGGTGAACTGTGGCAGAAACTTTAAGTTTCCTGAAAGCCCATTTCCTCCTAGAAGGGAATTATACATTGGAATGTGCTTGCTGTGAATGGAAACAGAGCATCTTGGGTGAATAAAGTATTAGTTTCAGACTAAAATAGTGAATTTATGTATTCTGCAGAAGAGAACTCTTTCCCCTGGCTGTGTTGATTACTGCTTTTATGACTTTCACATGCTTCCTTTCTTAAGCTCTCATTAACTAGTGTATTTTTTCTGACTTATCCTAAAATTATAAGTGTTAAAGCTATTGTATTAGTCATGATTCTCTAGAGAAACAGAATAGATGGGGGTTTATTAGAATGGCTTACAGGCTGTCGTCTAGCTAGCCCAACAATGGCTGTGACCAGATGGAAAAGCAAAGAATCTTGTCCACAAGGTTAGTCTTCAATCCTGAAGATGAAGTTTTTAATGCCAGTGAAGGGGTGCTTCAGCAGTGGGCTAGATGAGCTTGCCCTCAGGAGTGCAGGCAAGCAGGTAAAGAGCCAAAGCGTCTGTCCTCCATGGCGTGGCGGTAGGCAGGAAGGCATGGCGTAGTACTGGAGTGGTAGTTGATACCTTTATATCCTTTTATGTGGACTGTCACCAAAGATGTAGCCCAGATTTTAGGATGGGTCTTCTGATCTCAAGTGATGCAGATTTGGAGTGGGTCTTCCCACCTCAAATGATCCAGCCAAGAAAATCCCTTACAGGCGTGCCCAGCTGCTTGGGTTTTAGTTGATTCCAGGTATAGTCAAGTTGACAACTAGGATTAGCCAAGCTACTAACAACTTTATCTTGGTTGGAAAATCTTTGAGGTATACTAATCAAGCCAGTTCATATTAAGCTGGGAGTGGAGGTACACACTTGTACCCTAGCATTTAGGACTGAAAAGGAGGACAGTTAGTTTGAGACCAGCCTGGATTACATTAAAAACCTGTCTCAAAAATAAAGTTTTTACTTTTATGACAGATGAATATTTCATTAAATAGTAAGGTTTTGCATACTAATAAAAGACTATGCAAGTAGAACTGGGCAAACAGTTTACAGGAAGTACAAATGTTGAATAAATATGGAAGAAATTTTCAGATTTATCAGGAAGCAGAAGAATTGAAATGTAGCACTGTCCATCAGAAACAGGAACACAGTGACACATGCCTTAGGTCGTTCTTGGTGTATTGCTTTAATTACCCTCACAGTGATTCTTTAAGGGCATACTGTGTTTATCACATTTATAGGTGAATAAATTGAGATACAGAAGGCATTAGTGTAAGGCAGTGGTTCTCAACAGCTCTGATACTGCACCTTTTAGTGCAGTTCCTCATGCTGTGGTGACCCCCAATCATAAAATTATTTTGTTACTACTTCACAGCTGTAGTTTTGCCACTGTAATGAATTATATTGTAAATATCTCATATGTAGCTATCTGATATGCAACCCCTATTCAACTGCCCAAGAGGTCGCAACCCACAGGTTGAGTACCACTGGTCTAAGGTCATGTGACAAGTAATATAACCAGGACATAGCTCTGTCTTAGTGTTGTGTGGAGACACAGTGACCAAGACAACTCTTACAAAGGAAAGAATTTAACTAGGGACTTGCTTATGGTTTCATAGGGTTAGTTTATTGTGAAGGGAGCATGGCGGCAGGCAGGAAGGCATGGCACAGTGCTGGAGTGGTAGCTGATACCTTTACATCCTGATCCACAGGCAGGTCTGCAGAGGAAAGTGGGGCACTGAGCCTGGTATGGTCATGTGAAATCTCAAATCCTACTCCCAGTGATAAACCTCCTCCAACAAGGCCACGCCTTCTAGCCTTCTAAAGAGTTCTTCACCTGGGGACTAAAAATGCAAGTATATGAGCCTGTGGGGCTGTTCTTACTCAAACCACCACAAGCTCTAGGGTCCAGTGCTCTTTTTAGACACTGAAGTTTGTTATAACTGCAAGTGCAGATGTCAGTGGGGGCATGTGTGCCATGCGCATGTGTGGAAGCCAAGCAGCAACTTTGTGGAGCTTTCTCCTTCCAGGGATCCAACTCTGCTCTCCAAACTTGCTTAGCAAGTGCCTTTAACCCACTGAGCCATCTTGCAGGCCAGCTCTTTAACTACTGCCTTTTGTTGCTTCTTTGATATCTTTATAAAGAATAGCCACTGTTGGTAAGAGTGTTTAAGAGTTAGCATTTTATACAGTATTGGTTACCGTAGTAGATGTTTACCACTCTAGTGGGTCTGTGAACCGGAGAGAGTGGGGCCTAAAGAGGAGGTGGGTCGAAGTCTCATGCGATAGCCACCTTTATTCAGAGCAGCAGAAGTTTATACTCTGAGGGCTGAGTCACATGAGTAAAGAGTACAATCACGGGAAAACATTTTTTCCACAGAACAGATGAATGACAGCAGCTGAAATAAACACTACACCTGGATTAAGCATGACAACACATGCTGGCACAACTGGATGTCAACCTGTAGAAGAATGAAAATAGACCCATATCTATCACCATGCACAAAACTCAAGTCCAAATGGATTAAAAACCTCAATATCAGTCTGAACACACTGAACCTGATAGAAGAGAAAGTGGGAAGTACCCTACAACAGATGGGCACAGGAGATCGCTTCCTAGGTATAACCCCAGCAGCACAGACATTAAGGGCAACATTGAATAAATGGGACCTACTAAAACTGAGAAGCTTCTGTAAAGCAAAGGACACTGTCACTAAGACAAAAAGGTAACCTACTGACTGGGAGAAGATCTTTACCAACCCTGCAATAGACAAAGGTCTGATCTCCAAAATATATAGAGAACTCAAGAAACTAGACTTTAAAATGCTAATTAACCCAATTAAAAAATGGGCACTGAACTGAACAGAGAATTCTCAACAGAAGAAGTTCAAATGGCTAAAAGACACTTAAGGTCATGCTCAACCTCCTTAGCAATCAGGGAAATGCAAATCAAAACAACTTTGAGATATCATCTTACACCTGTGAGAATGGCTAAAGTCAAAAACACCAACGATAACCTTTGCTGGAGAGGCTGTGGAGGAACGGGTACCCTCATCCATTGCTGGTGGGAATGCAATCTTGTGCAACCACTGTGGAAAGCAGCATGGCGGTTTCTCAGGAAATTCGTGATCAACCTACCCCTGGACCTAGCCATACCACTCTTGGGAATATACCCAAGAGATGCCCTATCATATGACAAAAGCATTTGTTCAACTATGTTCATAGCAGTATTATTTGTATTAGCCAGATCCTGGAAACAACCTAGATGTCCTTCAATGGAAGAATGGATGAAGAAAGTGTGGAATATATACACAGTAGAGTACTACGCTGCGGTAAAAAACAATGACTTCTCGAATTTTGCATGCAAATGGATGGAAATAGAAAACTCTATCCTGAGTGAGGTAACCGAGACCCAAAAAGATGAACATGGGATGTACTCACTCATAATTGGTTTCTAGCCATAAATAAGGGACACGGAGTCTACAATTAGTGAACCTAAAGAAGCTAAATAAGAAGGTGAACCCAAGGAAAAACACATAGTTATCCTCTTGCCTATGGGAAGTAGACAAAATTGCCGGGGAGAAAAGTGGGATCTTGGGGGTGTGGTGGGTTGGGGGTAAGGGGAGATGGGGAGAGAAAAGTGATAAGGGGAGAATGGGGGGAACTTGGGGAAACAGGATGATTGGGATAAAGGAAGGCTGGATAGGGGAGCACGGAAGCACAATTCTTAGTTAAGGGAGCCACCTTAGGGCTGGCAAGAGACTTGAACCTAGAGTGGCTCCCAGGAGCCCAAGGCGATGTCCCCAGTTAGTTCCTTGGGCAGATGAGGATAGGGAACCTGAAACAACCCTATCCTATAGCAATACTGACGAATATCTTGCATATCACTATAGAACCTTCATCTGGTGATGGATGGAGATAGAGACAGAGACCCACATTGGAGCACCGGACAGAAATCTCAAGGTCCCAATGAGGAGCAGAAAGAGGGAGAAGATGAGCAAGGAAGTCAGGACCACGAGGGGTGCACCCACCCACTGAGACAGTGGGGCTGATCTATTGTGAGTTCACCAAGGCCAGCTGGACTATGACTGAAAAAGCATGGGATAAAACTGGACTCTCTGAACATGGCGAACAATGAGGGCTGCTGAGAAGCCAAGGACAATGCCACGGGGTTTTGATCCTACTTAATGTATTGGCTCTGTGGGAGCCTAGCCAGTTTGGATGTTCACCTTCCTAGACATGGATGGAGGGGGGAGGACCTTGGACTTTCCACAGGGCAGGGAACCCTGACTGCTCTTTGGACTGGAGAGGGAGCAGGAGAAGAGTGGGGGGAGGGGGAGAAGGGTGATAGGAGGGGGAGAGAAATGGGAGGCTGGGAGGAGGGGGAAACTTTTTTTTTTCTCAATAAAAAAAAAAAAGAACAGTTCTGTGTTTTGATAAAATCGAGGTCACAAGACTGTGTTTTCTTGGAGTTTTCTCACAAGCACTCAGGAATTCTCACAATTCTCACATGCCTTCGTTCTTGGACCATGTTCTGACAGATTTCTGCAAGATGCTTAAGTAATATGTTTGCAAGCTTTAATTAACACCTGCATTGTCTTTGATTTCAGATTTTATCCTAAGAAAATCCTTACAATAAATAACAAAATATACGTACAGAAATTTTACCTTCAATTGTTGAAACAACTTTGAAAAATTGTCTTACTAAGCTTTATTCTTATTAAAATAATAAAATAATGCTACTTGTTCATGTAGGAAAAAGATTGCCTTTATGTGCCTGTGTTGTAAATATGTTTACTGCTGGATACTTCAAAGCATTCTAATAAAACTGAAACATCAATATTTCTTGTTTTGTTCTAAGTGTAAAGTGTAAGTTTCAGTCAAGATATTAAATATCTTTGTATTAAGACTTGCCTAATCTCTGCTAATTCTTTTGCATGTAGCTACCCTATAAAAATGCCTTAAGAAAGAGCCATGGAGAAGTATGTTAGACTACAGAAGATTGGAGAAGGCTCATTTGGAAAAGCTGTTCTTGTTAAGTCCAGGGAGGATGGCAGGCATTATGTTATCAAGGAAATTAACATTTCAAGGGTAAGTACATTTTTACTTTGTTTGCAGAAGTAGTAATTTGGTCAGCCTAGGATCAAATATTAAATATTTATTATTTATCAGAGAAACACATAACCTAGTGAGGAAGAGTGCTATGATCCCATCAGGACCACTACGTCACTGGAGTCTGTGTGTCCTTTCAGATTTTTTCCTTTTTGTTCCTGTACGGTATGTAGAAACATATACTTACAGTCCTGTGACTTACTGTAGATTGGGCACGCTTAATGGGCTTCACTTACGGATTCAGTTCATTCCTTTGTAACATACTGCTATAGTTTTTAATGTTTGTTATTGTTATCATGCTGTGTTAGTAGCATTTTTAACCACTCTCTTATAGGTGGACTTTTACCTTTATTAGTGGCTTTACTATTTTCTTCCATTTAAGATGTCCGGCAAAGAACGGCAGGAATCAAGGAGAGAAGTTGCAGTGTTGGCAAACATGAAGCATCCAAATATTGTCCAATATAAAGAATCCTTTGAAGGTCAGATATATTTTGCAAACATTTAAAATAAGCTCTAAGATACTTACAACTTTTGGGTATTTTCCTTTAAGGATTTTTTTTGTGAATGTATTTTCGGTAAAAATACTTTTTGTTTTTGTTGTTTCATAAATATACATGTTAGTATTAGTTTGATTTTAGGATAGTAGTGATATCCTCATAGCTTAATATTGACTTACTGTTATTAACAATTACTTAAGAAGAAGCAGTATAGTACAAAAATTTTGAGTGGGCAAAATTAATAGCAACATTTTAACCTTAAATTTCCCTATAAGTATTTCTACTGACACTGAGAAAATGTTCTGATCTTGATTTTTGTAAAAACCATTACCTTATTTTTGATGATTTCATATATGCATATAACTTAATCATATTCCACCTGCAGCCCATTGCGTTCCTCTTCCAAGCACTCCCAACTCCCATCCTACTTTCATGTCTTCTCTTTTTAATAACCCACAGACTTTAACTAGGGTTGCTTGCATGTGGACAGGTATGGGGTGCTGGCTGAAGGAGTTCCCATAATGTGTTCGTGTCAAAGACTTCCATAATGGGGTTATTTCTTGGGCAGTTTACCAGTGATGAGAGCCCTGAGGAAAAATGACTCGTCCTTGCCCAGTAGCCTTTAACTACCATATATCCTCTTCTAGGAGTGGGTCCTCATGGGCCCTCCCAGTCCATCCTAGAACGTGGTGAACAGGCCCAACTACACTTAGGAGTCATCTGAATGATTCAAATGTACTTCATTTTAAGCATTACCTGTCACCATATATGTTCAGAAGGCATAGACAGGCATGACTACATGTTCTCAGGTTCTTCTAAGTTCACCTTCATTCGAACTCCCTAGAAATTAGCGTGGTTGACAGTGGATAGCAAACATATGATTGTGAAAATAAAAAAGTAGCATTCCTGAAGTTTTCTTGGCATTAAAGATTCACTGTAAAGAACTACTGAAAAAGAATTACTTGTCTTTTCATGCAGGTAAAAGACCAGGATCAGGGCAAAGTGCCAGTTCTCTTGTCCCTTCTCAGAAAATCACAAAGCCTGCTGCTAAATATGGAGTGCCTTTAACATATAAGAAGTATGAAGATAAAATGTTACTTGAAAAAAATCACCCCCAAAACATAAACAGGTAAGATCATTTTTCAAACTGATTAATGTCAAGGTCAGTTTGACCCTGTGTAGTAACAGCCCCATTGGTTATCTGGTACTCGGGGTAGTCTTCATCTCCTTACTGAGGAGTATTGCTATGCCTCTGCATCCGTGCTAAAATGGAGGAGCCTTACTAACGCGGTGGACAGCATTAGGTAGATACATTGAGTACACAGCTGGTATAATACAAAAAGATAGCATTGTAAATGAAGTCCTCCTTGGACCTCTTGATTGTATGCAGAGAAGTAACTACCTGTGATATTATTGCTAAAACACCAGATATTGGGTATTTCAGAATTCATAGTCAAATAAATCAAAATCTTGGAACTCTATAATTCTGAATATGATTCATATTGTGATAGTTTCCCACTTCAGAGTAAAAAAATGGCCTAAAGCTGTTGAGTTACATGACTGGGATCATGGTATCAATTGCACAACATTGGCACTTTTGATTTGGAATTTGAATATGGAAATTTTAGTGTAAATCATTATTAGCTTATTTTAGGATTTAGCCATTAAATAGGTAAGAGGAATATAGTATAGGAGTGGCAAAGACAGAAATCAGCTGCTACTCCTAGTACACTCAAAGAACAAAAATGTGAAAACTCCTCAACTCCATCTGTGAAGTTAATTCAGATCTTATGGACGGGGAATAGCTGTTAAGACTATTTGTGGTGATGTCCACTGAGTTCCCACAGCCTGGCGCTGGCCAAGAGAAAGCTATCTACCACAGAACTGAAGTCCACTGGGAAGTTGTACCAAGAAAGCACCTAGGGAGCTGACAAACTCTGAGGAGCCTTCTGGAGGCAAGCAGAATATGGCAGTGCTGCTGAGCTGACTGGACACCAGCAGAACTCTGTAGGAAACTGTCTTTGTGGTACTGTTGAGATTCAGTTGGAAACGGGCAGGACATAGGCACAACTTTTGCAAGGTAACCTGCAGGAGTGAGTGTCACAGGTCCCCACGTGCTGCAATAGCAGAAAGGGACACTTTCCTTCTGTAGTGTGTCTCCAGCAGCCTCTGTGATAGTGCAGGCTTTGTACAGGGGGTGTAACTGGCACGCTGGCTTTATCATTTGTTGATTCTGTTTATTCAGCTATCAAACACACCATCATATCCTTTTCTCTCTCTTTGGTCATGAAAGGAAACCTAGGACCGAAGACTTATTACTTTAAATCCTCTAAGATTCTGATCATCCCCTAATCTTCCACCTCAATATTTCTGATGTTTGTTTGTTTGTTTGTTTGTTTGAGACAGGGTTTCTCAGTGTAGCCTCGGCTGTGAGTTGAAACTTTCTCTGTAGACTAGGCTGTCTAGACTCATAGAGATCTGCCTGTCTCTGCCTCACAAGTGCTGCGATTAAAGGCTTGTGCCACCACCACCCAGCTAATTGTAAACTTTATTAATTGCCCCAGAGAATATCTTTGTAAAGTCAGTTATAAAAAAAAAATTTTCATTAAATATTTTTTTCACGTAAAAAAGACCCATAGCTTGCTAAGATCATTCAATACCAGCCTTCGAGACCCTGAAACTTAATTTCCTTAGCTTCGTATTATAACCAAGGAATTAAAATCATTAGAGGATCATTAGAAACAGGCTCATTGAATTAAAAACTTATATACTGTGTCCATGAAAAGAACATTCAGTGGCAACGTCTTGTCTTGCCACCTAAGTTCCATGCTCAAGCTTAGGTGATAAAACCTCTCAAGATCCCCCCTTTTCTATTGCTCTCATCTGCTGTGATGCTCCAAGGTTCTCTGCAGATCAGCTAAATTGGACCTGATTCTCCCTCCTATGCACTTTGTCCTTTGTTTGTTTGTTTGATCTGTTCTCTCTCCTCCTCTTGAGTTTTTTTTTTTTCCTTGCCCTTTGTAGGCACAACTCACATCAATACTGCACTGTTTTGTTGGAAACCCTTGCTAGGTAAAATGAGATCACATGCTAACACCCTCACCTCCTACAGTTCTACTGTGGAAACAAAAGCAGGGCAAGGAGGGGCGGTAAATAAAGGAGCCACTTGTCTGTGATGAGTGCTCTAACTTTAGCTTCTAGATTAACAAATAGAATACTGGCATCATGGCCAGAGACATTATCACATTGGCAGCAGTGGCATTTGTATTTAAAGTTTCCACTGACCAATGGGAGATAAGAAATGCCACCTTTTTTTTTTTTATCTTTCTCCTGATTGTATCTCCTGCCCTCCCAAAGAGAAATAGGACCTGCTTCCTTAGCAGAACTTCAGTACCTTGTGTGTATCCTTTTATTGTTATGCTTATTGGAGTGTGATCTCTTTGAAGTGAAGGGCCTTGATATACATGTTTGCACAAAATTGTTTTTTTTAATGAATAAACGATTGAATAGATTGAATTTCTATGAGGAAAGCAATGCCCTTTATTTCCTAACCATACTAAATAGGGTGAAAGGACAGATAAAAACCCTTTCAGGCTCAAGTAAACAAGTGTTCTTTGAGATACTTTTTCAGGTATATGTGTACAAGTGGCCAGCCGTCAACCTCGGGTGCTTTCTGTCACTCTTCGCTTTATTTTTTGAGATGTGGTCTCTCAGAAACCCAGGAGCTCACTACTTTGACTAGGTTCACTAGCCAATAGCTCCTGTGGTTACGGATGAGCACCAGCAAGTCTGGCTCTTATGTGAGTACTGTGGACTTACTAAGACCAAACTTAGGTCTTAGCTAGGTAGGCACCTTACCTTCTGAGTCATTTCCCCATCCAGAGGTTTATTGTTAATGCTTTACAGCAACTATTTTACTATGGTGCAATAAATAAAACACTGCTTTTGAAATAGATTTCTTTTGCATACATACCATATTTGGTTTCTAGTGAAGCAGGTTGGTATCTTAGTGTAATCATGATGTCCTTTTTTCCATCAAGTATTTTGAAAGTTTGAAATTGACTTAGTGTGCTTTTAACAACTATGAAACACACTTTGGTATACACTGCGTTTCTTTAACTGAATTCTATACATTTTTATTTATTATCATTATGATTGTATCACATTTTGACATGAAATCAGTTGGCTTCATTGCTACAAATGTGCTTTAAAAATTTTATGTTCCATACCAAAATTTCATTACATTTTTTTTCATGTCTTCTAAATAGGTTTTTAAAATATTAATTCATAGATAATTTTCAAGATACATGTTTCTTCCAAATAGTGTTTACATTTGCAACACATGTTTAACAATTGTAATATAGACATGCATAACGTCTCTGATTCTTGGAGCTAAAACTAATGTTGGCCATGGAGTAAGAGAGGACAGACACATTATCTTTTTTTTTTCTTTGGAGACAGGGTTTTTCTGTGTAGCTTTAGAGCTTTCCCTGGAACTCGTTCTGTAGACCAGGCTACAAACTCACAGAATCCACCTGCCTCTGCCTCCCTGGGATTAAAACCTTTACCACCACCGCCCAGCGACATACTTGTGTTTATGTGATTAGGTAGATACCACATAGAATAATCACAAAAAGGAATACACACTTGGGCGAACTTGTAAAATGAGAGTTGTTTTTGTCCCTTGGCCACCCACTATTCTGAGAATGAAGGAAATGGTGAATTGAATCCATGACATGGTAGAAACCTCACCTTTGACCAGGACAGAAAAGAAACCAAGTGTAAAATCAGAGCCATCTCATAGCTGATGGAATCAAGTAATGTGCTTTCTTTCTTTCTTTCTTTTTTTTTTTTTTTTCGGATTTTCGAGACAGGGTTTCTCCGTAGCTTTTTGGTTCCTGTCCTAGAACTAACTCTTGTAGACCAGGCTGGCCTCGAACTAACAGAGATCCTCTGCCTCCCGAGTGCTAGGATTAAAGGCGTGTGCTACCACCGCCCGGTGTAATGTGCTTTCTTAATTGTTCTTTTATTTCCAGTTAATTGTCAGTGTAAATGGGAGTTTTGGATTTTTGCTCTTAATATTCAAAATGATAGGCTCCATCTCTCATATTCTAAGATGGAAAAGTGACTCAGATGATAGCTGCCTAAAACCAGAAGGGTTTTAGGCAAGGTTATTCCTTTTCAATTTTTTTAATCATTTTTAAATGATTTTTAAGCCAATCCACTGAAAATTAGATAGTAGTCAGTACTTAGATTGTGCCATGACTTATTTTAAAACATTTAACGTTGCACAAACTCAATGTCTAGGAGAGCAAGCTTGCATAATGACAGAACAGACTTAAAATCGAAAAACATGACTTTATAATGTATATTTTGCAACAATAAAAGTATAAAAATAAAATTTATGAAAACTTAATGTAACAGGAAGGCCTCTTGTTTGTCCCGGCTGCCCAGAACTGGCTGCCCAGCTAGCTTTGCTCTGAAATAACCACACAGAAACCGTATTAATTAAATCACGGCTTGGCCCATTAGCTCTACCTTCTTATTGGCTAACTCTTACATCTTAATTTAACCCATTTCTACTAATCTGTATTGCCACATGTTTGTGGCTTACCAGCAAGGTTTTGCATCTGACTCTGGCAGCGGATTGATGCCCTCCCTCCGCCTCTCTTTCTCCCAGCATTCAGTTCCATCTTCCCCGCCTACCTAATTTCTGCCCTATCTACAGGCCAAGGCAGTTTCTTTATTCATTAACCAAGAAAAGCAACACAGACAGAAGGACCTCCCACACCAATAGGTAGATAGAAAAAAGTAAGAGCATTGCAATCAAATAGATAAGAAAACTATCAAGGTCATAACAAGGGAATGGAATGAAAAAAAACCCCACAGTTTCTGAAGTGTTTTAGTTTTTTGAAGCAGGGTTTTGCTGTCTCCTCAAATCAACTTGAATGCTTGCTCTTCCTGTGCTCCTAAAAAGCTGAGATAGTGTTAGCTAGTGTACTGGCTGAGATTTTAAATAAATTCCTGTTGTTTTTTTGAATGATTCCTTTTTAAATTAAAGAATATTCTCTCAACAAATATAAAATATTTTTATATTCAGACTTGCTTAAATATCTTAATATAGTAATATCTTTATTTATATAAATTTAAGCTAGTACATGTAGTTTTGTTGTTCTTGTTGTTAGGGGTTTTGTTGTTTTCTTGAAGCCACCAGAGGGAGCTCCATGAACACAATTCTGTGTTTAGGTTCATTTTTGCTTTTGTTTTTTGAGTGACAGAAAACAAAACCATTTCCTTAGTACAGTGTTTCTTTTTATCTCTTTAGTATAGAGATAACATTCTGAAAACACCCAGTTACTCTCAGAGGAATAGCTTGGAATTTTATTCCATAAATACTTGAATAGTCTCTATGTAAGGTGATAGAGAAGATCAAAGAGGAACCTAATCTTTGCTTCCATATAACTTACCTCTTAAACCTCTACCTCTTGGGCTAAGGATATTTCCTAGGGCTGAGACTCATTCAGCAAGTGAAGGAGGGTGCTTACAACAAAAGCCTGCCATCCTGACTTGATCACTGCAGCCCACATAAAGTGGGGGGGGGGGGGAAGAACACCAACTCTAGTGTTGTCCTCCCTTGCTACGCAGAAGCCTGAATACACTGTACACATACAATAATAGGGGAAATTTAAAAGCTAGTCATTTAGGCCCCAAAGCTCTTATTACATTAGTTTTTCTTCCCCTTTTTTTTCTTCAGTCTCTCAGGTCGTCCTTGAATTTATTTTCCTGACAGTTAAGACTATAGATGTGTGCCACCACTAGTTCATTAACGTTGATACTACATACTCATTTGATTTCTATGGGGTACAGATTTGGAAAAGAGTCTAACAGCCTCATAGAGTTTTAACTGTGACAGGTGTCAAAATGCTTAGTAAAAATAAAATGTCTTTTTTAGCCCTATAGTATTAACATATACCATAAAGGAAAATAGAGGTGTAGCTGATTTATAATTATAAACTTTAGTGCCGTAAAAGAATAAGTAAAAGCTAAACATAAGAAAATAGCTATAGTAAACAAGATAAACCAAGAATGTATCTGAGATTTTGTGAACAGTAAGTATGTAAAAGGAAATATTCTAGCATTTTTAAGGAGCAGAAATTAACAGAGATGAACAATCCACATGAAAATCTGTGTTTTCTATATTCTTTGGTGGAAAATAAATTGGTTCAGCCTTTGGGGAGGTGGAGTTCTCAAAATATAAATTATGATGTTGCTCTTTAATTCCACTTTTTTTTTTTAAATTGGTCTTCTGGGATATTTGAGTATGAGCCAAAATGGTATATGTAAGAAAGTTTCTTACAGAATATAGAATAGGAAAACTTAAAATCAACCCAAAATCTATCTCAGAATAATGGCTAAATAAATTAATTCTGGATTATTTCCTTGTTAATTTATTACCAATAATAGTAAATTATTGCCATCATGTGGAATTGTCAAGACATTATTAAAAATACTTTGCTATCAAATAAAACATTTTATAAAAAACAGAAAAGGTAAAATTATGGCTTTATATATTTATGTATGTATGTATGTAAGTTTATAAAAATGTCTAGAATGATACTCATAAAAATATTGATATGGGTTACCTCCAATATGAAACAACTATAAATTTTTATTGTTGAGTTTTATGTAATGAACATATATTATACAATTTATTTTTTAAGAAAAATTTATTATTTAACTTTTGAAGTGATGTTTCATTATAGTATTAGATTGGTAAAATTAATATCCATTGGGGGAGTAGCTCATGAGGACCCATGAGGAAATACTAGAAAGTTAATGGCTTCTGGAGGAAGGAGTCACTTTTCTTAGGGTGTGTGCCCCTAATATATTGCTGATGCTTCATTGGATAGCCCCACACCTATGCATATATGGACAATTGGACTCAGTTATAAAAACAAAAAGGACAGGTAATTGGGAGGTATAAGTGTTGAGGGATCTAGGAGGAGTTAGTGGAGAAAGTTGGGAAGGAGTGTGCCTGATCAAAATCATGCTTGGGTGTAGTGATATTTCATTTGTATTTTATTTATTTTTTTTAAAGATTTATTTATTTATTATGTATACAATATTCTGCCTGCATGTGTCCCTGCAGGCCAGAAGTTGGCACCAGATCTTATTAGAGATGGTTGTAAGCCACCATGTGGTTGCTGGGAATTGAACTCAGGACCTCTGGTAGAACAATCAGTGCTCTTAACTGCTGAGCCATCTCTCCAGCCCTTCATTTGTATTTTAATAAACAACGCTTATCTGAAGATCAGAGAGTAAAGCAGCCACTCTGGTCAGCCTTACAGACCAGGCAGTGGTGACACACACCTTTAACTGCCGTAGCCATACTAGTTTGCCATAGAAAACAGGCAGTAGTGGTGCATGCCCTTAATCCCAGCACTAGAGAGGAATATAAGATGGCTCAGGAGACAGCTCTCGGGTGCAGTGCAGTCTCATTCTGAGGATTCCTGGAGGCAGAATCGCCACTTGGGTAGAGGCGAGAGCAGTGGCTGGCTGTTTTGCTTTTCTGATCTTCAGGTTGAACCCCAATATCTGTCTCTGGATTTTTATTATTGTGCTACAGTTGGGGGTGTGTTGGAGGTGAGAACTGGGGAGTGTACATGATCATAATATACTACATAATATATGAAATTCTCCTTAAATAAAATCTTTAAAAATATGTGTATGCAGAGAAAACTAGGTGATGGTTTGAGTGTTGTCTTCCAGGTTGTTTAATATAAGGCATATCAACGAGTAGTGTCTGTCTAAAGTCAATGCATTTTAAAAGTTATAACAGTATTGGCTTTCTTTACCTTTTCTTAACTTAAACTTCCTGAAGTTTGTGATTTCCAAGAGTGTCTTAAATATTTATCTAATTTGTAGCTTTGTTTTTTATCCAGCCCTATCAAATTCCAGCGAAGAAAATGTGTTCTGGAGAAGAAAAGAAGAAAATGTTTGAGGTATAAAGACATATATCTGCTTATTTCAAAGCCTCACAAAACAGTTCTTAGACAACAGCAAAATCCACTAACGTTATTGATCCCTGGTTCTCAACTTTCCTAATCCCGTGACCCTTAAATACAGTTCCTCATCTTGTGGTAATCCCCAACCATCAGATTAGTTTCCTTGTTACTTTGTAACTGTAATTTTGCTACTGTTATGAATTTTAATATAAATATCTGTGTTTTCTGATGGTCTTAGGTGACCCCCATGGAAACGTCAGTTGATCCCCAGGGATCACAACCCACTAGTTGAGAACCAGTGTTACAGAGCCTCCAAACCTTTCTGCTTTGTGTCTTTCAAACAGATACTTTATTTTGTTCATCCTTTGGTTTTCCTCATCTCTTTGGGTATACCTTTCCTGTTGATATACTTTCTGGATGCAAATATAAAAAGGTAGAAATTATTGATAGAAGTGTTCTTTTGTTTAAGGAAGCAGCAAAGAAAAGAAAGTTGGAATTTATTGAGAAAGAGAAGAAGCAGAAGGATCAGGTAGCTTTTTGCTCTTGTTTATCTCCCTTTGCCTACATGTAGATGGTAAAACTTGGGTTCTGAGAATATGTCTAAAATGTTACAGATTAGTTTCCTGAAGGCGGAGCAGGTGAAGAGGCAAGAGAAGCAGCGGGTAAGAGACTCCATCTCCACAGTGTAGCTCTGCCCTCCCCACACATGTAGTTTTAAAGGAAGTGCACTGATTTTAATTTTATTGTTAAATGTATTCTGTATGTTTTGTATTAAGTAGTTGAAATGGTATTTTGTTTATTTCTCTTTCTCCAAAAGTTGGAGAGAATAAATAGGGCCAGGGAACAAGGATGGAGGAATGTATTGAGGGCTGGTGGAAGCGGTGAAGTAAAGGTAGGCATTTGCTACTGGTGGAGCTAAGCTGTTGCTTGTCTCCAGTGTCTCCTTGTTCTTTAAATCTCTATCGCTGGCTACTGTTGTTTTCTTGCTGTATGGATAATGTTATATAGAATTCTGCAATGTGCATTATGATTTATTCCTTACCTGTGTGTATGGGATAAATAATAATTAACATGTGACATTTATTAAAGTTAAAACTTTTGTGTTAAGGCTGTACTGCAGTTCCTTTTAGAGAACTCTCAAATCAAATACAAAATCAGATAATGCTTGTTAGAAGTTTTCATGTAATCTTGAAAATTAAGTTCTCAGGTTTTCTTAATTGGCCACTGTCAGACTCTCCAAGATAATAATAGCGACCCACTACGATGCTCTTCCGCCCTACTTGTGCTACACAGCAGAACTAATTTCGTAAGCGTATGGAGCCTGCTGGTTCTCATGTCTTTGCACTCCGGCTCCTCTCTACTGTCTAGCACCCCTGCTTTTCTTTTCCACCTGCACCTCCGCCTCCATTCATTCACCTAGATAACCAATTGCCTAAATAGCCATTTACCTAGATTCTTTAATTCACACATTCCCTTTGGGCAAATCTGACTTTGTATCCTTAGGCAAATTAACTTTTCTGAGTTTATTTTCACTGCTTAGAGCTTTTCTACTGGGGCTCAGATAGAAATGTCTTTACCCATCTTTGTTCTGTCAGAGACTTGTACTTCTCCATCGTTTTCAAAAATACCACTTAACTTATACTGGTAAGCTGAATCCTGAAACAATCTATGGGATTCCCCTCCTTTGTATTCTCTCCTCTTGAGCTGTAAATACAGTTGTACTTAATGGCTCCTTTGATTAGATTATGTTATGTGATAAATGAGCACTCCCACAATTACTTTGTCGGAGTAGACAGGAATGGGAAAAGAAGTGTAGGGAAGTCTACCACTACTGACCTGAAGGGCAGCAAGCACAGACACGGCAAGAAAGCATGGACGACTTCTGGATTATGACTGTTATGGCTTCCATCACCCAGCACTCCGGCTGGAACTTCCAGGTTCCAGGGCCGCGCCTGTGCCAACAAGTGCTCAGGCAGTTTATATAGCCAACCAGGGTCCTCAAGCCCTAAGTGACCTACATGCAGCATGGTCATGTCTCCTACACATGACGCAACCACGCATGAAGCAGCCACGTAAGCCCCTGTGCGCATGCGCTAGGCAGACTTTAAAAGCTGGATATGCCCACTCCACACTCTCCCTGCACCAACTTCTTTAAGCCTATGCACATATCTTTCTCTTTCTTAAACTCTTAAAGTGGGTTTTGTGATCCGTTCTCTCTCCCGGTAATTTCATGGGTGCGTAGACTCCATAGACTCTCCAGCCCCCTCTCCTGGGGCTGGGACCCTGGACCGGCTTTCTCCACAACAATCCACATTTACTTTTACGATCTACTGGTTGCCAACTTTTAGGCACACCAGCTGCTTCAATCAGTGAGTTTTCCTTCTGGTCATCTTAACCTTTTCTCCAACTGAGGACTTGACCGGTGAGCTCCCAGCAACCCTCTGCTGTTCCTAGAAATGGGGGGAATGCCCCCAACCACAGCCTTCATGGCTACAATTGAACCCTTCTCTGACATTCATCTCTGGTTGCTCCTCGCAGCTAAAAACTGAGATTTGGCACCCTGCTGTTCAGAGCACTTGAAAGTGGTCCTGTCACCACTGTTGGATATTTTTTCTTGGGCTGCCACCATTCGGGCCATCTGACCCCCGATTCATCCTGGCCTGATTCTCAACCCACGTGCTATTCCTGAGATGTCTGATTAATTACCTTTGTTATTTTGCCATTCTCACATTTTTAGCCATGGGAAACAAACCCTCAAAAGCGATCAGTTCACCCTCCCCCCTGGGATGTCTTTTAGAGACCCTAAAACCGTAATGCTTAATGCCGTACTTATAGATTCCCACGCGTGTCCATCTTTGTTCTAATAAAAGGCCTAAGTACCCTTTAGATAATAACCTAAAGTGGCCACCTAATGCCACCTTTGATCCCCATGCTCTGCGGGAACTTTCTAATTGGCAGTGCACAAGCAGGTGGAAGGAGTTTCCTTATATCCAAGCCTTTTCTATCTAAGTTCTAAGCCCCTGTCCTTACAAGCTCTTCACCTGCTCACATGTTCCCAGCTATGCCGTCTAAGCTGGAGGAACACCCGATTCAGCTCTGGACCCTGCTAATGAACTTCACTTTTCCAACCTCAGCAGACCCTGTGGATGGGCTACTAAAAGTACGTATTTCTTTCTCGCTCTCAGAACTCTCTCACATAGAACAAAAACTGGGTTTTTATTTGTCTAATTCTATGTCTTTCATAAGGTAATTTCAATACATTATCCAATCTTACATAGGCTCACCTTTCATGATATTTTTATGATCCTACTTCGTGAGGAGCATAGGTGAGTTTGGGGGCAGGCCAGAGTGCATGCAGATGAGGGCGCCATACTAATACAGCAGCACCCCTTGCCAGGCAGTCCCCAGTAGGATCCACATGGGGATTGTAACACCCTAGGCAGTATTTTAGATAAAGGTCTCCTTAAGGCTGCCCTCAAGCCAGTAAACTGATAAACTCTTAGAGGTTATTCAGGATATGAAGGAAATGGGTCTGCATTTTCAGAACGCCTCCCTAAAGCTCTGTTACTATATACTAAGCTAGATCCAGAGACCCCAGAGGGCCGGCAGTTCCTTATGACCCACTGTTTTGTTTTGTTTTGTTTTATTCAGAGCTTCCCTGACATTAGGGTTAAACTTAGGCATTTGGAGACAGGCCCTTTGACCCCACAGGCAGTAAGTAGTCCTCTTTTTTTTTTTTTTTGGTTCCTGTCCTGGAACTAGCTCTTGTAGACCAGGCTGGCCTCACAGAGATCCACCTGCCTCTGCCTCCCGAGTACTGGGATTAAAGGCATGCACAACCACCGCCCGGCTGACAGTAAGTAGTCTTAAAGTTGGCTTTTAAAGTGTAACATGCAAGGAGTGATAAAGCCCATAAACACTAATGTCAGATGATCGTCCAGGAGACTGACCGTCCTGTCCCTGCCGCTCCCTTGCCCCTGGGGCTCAAGAGTCGCCAGGCCCATGTTTCAAATGTGGTAAAACTGGGCATTGGGCCCAGGCGTGTCCTAATCCTCATATTGGCCTTACGAGACCGTGTCCAAGGTGCCATAGGTCAGTCAGTTGTCCTCGTGCGCATTGTGGCATGGAGTCATCAAACACAGACAATTCCCTTTGACCCGACCACAACTGTCATCTGTAATAGGGAGCAATGGGTAAATACCACAGTATCTGACCCTCCCATCTCCTTTCCCTTGGATACTGGAGCCACATACTCGGTACTGAGGGATTTTTGGGGAACTATGTCTCCTAGTTTCTCTATTGTCAGGGTAGGGGGACAGCCTTATTACCTCATCAGACCCCACTATTTAATTGTATCTTTGGGGGTATTTATCTCACTCATTCATTTTATTTTTTTTTCATTCTCAGCCTTCATTTATTTTATTTATTTATTTATTTATTTATTTATTAATTAAAGATTTCTGTCTCTTCCCCACCACCGCCTCCCATTTCCCTCCCCTTCCCCCAGTCAAGTCCCCCTCCCTCGTCAGCCCAAAGAGCAATCAGGGTTCCCTGCCCTGTGGGAAGTCCAAGGACCACCCACCTCCATCCAGGTCTAGTAAGGTGAGCATCCAAACTGCCTAGGCTCCCACAAAGCCAGTACGTGCAGTAGGATCAAAAACCCATTGCCATTGTTCTTGAGTTCTCAGTAGTCCTCATTGTCTGCTATGTACAGTTTTTTCCCAGGCTTTTTCAGACCCAGGCCAGTTGGCCTTGGTGAGTTCCCGATAGAACATCCCATTGTCTCAGTGTGTGGGTGCACCCCTCGTGGTCCTGAGTTCCTTGCTCATGTTCTCTCTCCTTCTGCTCCTGATTTGGACCTTGAGATTCTGTCCGGTGCTCCACTGTGGGTCTCTGTCTCTTTCTCCTTTCATCGCCTGATGAAGGTTAATATTCAGGAGGATGCCTATATGTTTTTCTTTGGGTTCTCCTTCTTATTTAGCTTCTCTAGGATCACTAATTATAGGCTCAATGTCCTTTATTTATGGCTAGAAACAAAATATGAGTGAGTACATCCCATCCCATGTTCCTCTTTTTGGGTATGGCTTACCACACTCAGAGAGTGTTTTCTATTTCTATCCATTTGCATGCAAAATTCAAGAAGTCCTTGTTTTTTACTGCTGAGTAGTACTCCAATATGTATATATTCCATACTTTCTTCATCCATTCTTCCATTGAAGGGCATCTAGGTTGTTTCCAGGTTCTGGCTATTACAAACAATGCTGCTATGAACATAATTGAGCATATACTTTTGTTGTATGATAGGGCATCTCTTGGGTATATTCCCAAGAGTGGCATTGCTGGGTCCAGGGGTAGGTTGATCCCGAATTTCCTGAGAAACCGCCACACTGCTTTCCAAAGTGGTTGCACAAGTTTGCATTCCCACCAGCAATGGATGAGTGTACCCCTTTCTCCACAACCTCTCCAGCAACGGCTATCATTGGTGTTTTTGATTTTAGTCATTCTGACAGGTGTAAGATGGTATCTTAAAGTTGTCTTGATTTGCACATCCCTGATCGCTAAGGAGGTTGAGCATGACCTTAAGTGTCTTTTGGCCATTTGAACTTCTTCTGTTGAGAATTCTCTGTTCAGCTCAGTGCCCCATTGTATAATTGGGTTGATTAACTTTTTACGGTCTAGTTTCTTGAGTTCTTTACATATTTTGGAGATCAGACCTTTGTCAGTTGCGGGGTTGGTGAAGATCTTCTCCTAGTCAGTGGGTTGCCTTTTTGTCTTAGTGACAGTGTCCTTTGCTTTACGGAAGCTTCTCAGTCTCAGGAGGTCCCATTTATTCAATGAGGCCCTTAATGTTTGTGCTGCTGGGGTTATACGTAGGAAGTGATCTCCTGTGCC